TATATAATAAAAGAAAACCAAGGAGCGCAAGATTTGAAATGCAAGAAACATCCAATGCTTTTATTAATGATATACGAAAATGACACACATAAAGCCCTCACAAATGAAGCCACGGTGCCCCGGGTAAGACACCGGGCCGTAAAGTTTGAAACATTGTCTGTTACAAATTCAAAACAAAAGTCTCATTACTGGGTGATAACGGAAACGGACATAAAATCCTTCGTTGTCCAGTTGCTTAATCCACCATTGGCAATCGGATAGATCCAACTGTCGATATCAAACTCTTCATCATCGTCATCCCCGATAGCATTCACCCCTGCATTTTGTTTAGGCTTTTCTGGTGCTCCGAACTCGTTCTCCTTGGCGTCATTCAAGTCCTGTAATTTGTTCTTCAAAGCCCAACAATCATCTGTATCATGCTGTTGCACCCCAAAATTTGCCCTCCTAATCTCTTTTATTTGCTTAGACTTTTTGCATTCATCTGCATCATTCCAATGGGTCATTTGCATAGCACGCATTTTTCATAAAAATAGATCGCCTTAGGTTCAAAAGACCAGCAGCTAGGGAGCTAAAGTTTACAATTGATTTAAGGTGTATGTATGAAATGAGCCTGATTATTCAGGATCTCCCTGGTGACATCAAGTTGGGGAATTAGGGTTTTGGTTCATTCTCATTTTTTTGGACTTTTTTTCCCTCAAGCAGCGAGGCTATTATTTTCTGATAAAACCACATGCTTAATGACTTTGACATGGCATTCATCCACTCTTCAATTAACCAATTCAGGTTTTGTTGAATCATGATTCAAGAATCATTGATTGTGAAGCTCGGGTTTTCTTTTGGTTTGAGGTGTTTATCAAACAAGACTGATTCTTCTAGAACATTGAACTGTGAGTTTAGGGTTGTGATTAATGGTTGTTGTGGATTTCTTCTTTATCAAGCTACGAGGTTATTCTCTTCATCTCGAAATCAAGTTGCAAGGTTTTATTTGTTAAAGTCTGAAGATTTGAGTTTATTTCTTTATGTCTATTGGAAGATCATGCTTTGTTTCATTTCAAAGACATTTTGAACATTATACTATCCATGTCTCAAGTCGTCACTGTGCACCTAATACAAGCGGGTTAAGGTTTCGCATTTTGTGTGTGAGTTTGTTGATGTTCATTAATGAGGAATGATTAGAGGATATCCTTCTAAGCTTCAAATTTTATCTTCTTTAAGGATCCCACAAAGGTATTTTTTGGCAAAACAAAGGACTTGTGGGGTTGAATTGAAAAGTATGAGGTCATGGCATAAGGAATGGTACCATAGATTCATGTTAATCAAGACCATTTTTGTTCTCATCATCGTTAGTTTTTGCTCACAATACAATGTACCACTGGGTGGTAAATCAGCAAACTCCAATCACCATGGTTATTATGGAAATCCAGTATATGAGGTTGGATTGTCTTATCCATGAAATCCGATGACAAACTCTGCTTCTCCAGTTGCGTCTGGAAGTCCCATCAGACAATGATCCAAACATGCATTTTGCTTCTGGAATGAAGAACTTAGCTGGGGTCTGGAATGGGAACTTAGCTGGGAACATGGATGAAAACTTTGCTTCTTCTCTGTTGGAAGAGTTCAAGAGCAATAAAGCCAAGTGTTTTGAGCTCTGTAAAATTGCTGGACATGTTGTTGAATTCAGCGCGGATCAATGTGGGAGCCGATTTATTCAACAGAAGCTTGAAACAGCAACTACGGAAGAAAAAAACATGGTTTATCAGGAAATCATGCCACATGCTCTTGTTTTGATGACTGATGTTAATTATGTGGTTCTTGGCCATGTCCTGACACTTAGTCTTCAAATGTATGGTTGTCGGGTCATCCAGAAGGCCATTGAAGTTGTTGATCTGGATCAGAAAATAGAGATGGTTCAAGAGCTCGATGGTAATATCATGCGCTGTGTACGTGATCAGAATGGTAATCATGTCATTCAGAAGTGCATTGAATGTGTCCCAGAAGATGCAATTGACTTTATTGTTTCAACATTTTTTGATCAAGTTGTGACACTCTCTACTCATCCATATGGTTGTCGTGCGATACAAAGAGTACTGGAGCACTGTGAAAATCCTGCAACACAGCAGAAAGTTATGGACGAGATTTTAAGTTATGTTAGTATGTTAGCTCAGGATCAGTATGGCAACTACGTTGTTCAGCATGTATTGGAACATGAGAAGCCTCACGAGCGTTCTACTATAATAAAGGAATTAGCAGGGAGGATAGTTCAAATGAGTCAACAAAAGTTTGCCTCCAATGTTGTGGAGAAATGCTTGACCTTCAGTGGTCCTTCAGAATGCCAAATACTAGTCAGTGAGATGCTTGGAACCACAGATGAAAATGAGCCTCTTCAGGCAATGATGAAAGATCAGTTTGCAAATTATGTCATCCAAAAGGTGCTGGAAACATGTGACGACCATCAACGTGAGCTGATTCTTTCGCGAATCAAAGTTCATTTGAATGCATTGAAAAAATACACTTATGGAAAGCATATTGTTGCACGTGTAGAGAAACTCGTTGCTGCTGGAGAAAGAAGAATTGCTGCTCAGACTCCACAACCTTCTTAGGCGTGACATAGAAAAATAATGCTGCAACTTTCTCGCCGACGTGATGATATTATGAATGTAAGTCCTGCCTCAAAATCAGTGGCTTCTACTTTGGCATCAATTGCTTTAGATCACATGAATTTTGGTGGCCATGTAACTGAAGCTTCAATATCAACAAAATGCCGTTATTTTGGAAAAGTCATGGATTTTTTATAGAGATGACATATTTACTACTCGCTCTGGTAGGAGGGTGTCCCTTAGAATCTGGAAGCCTGCAGATGATGTGCCTAAGACGGCTCATGCTATGTATTCTCTGAAAGCAGCTATGGAGTGGGACGAAGATGTTTTTGGACTTGAATATGACCTGGACCTCTTCAATATTGTTGTTGTGCCAGATTTTAATATGGGGGCCATGGAAAACAAAAGCTTGAATATTTTCAATTCCAAGCTTGTACTGGCTTCTCCAGAGACTGCTTCATATGCAGATTATGCTGCAATATTAGGTGTTATTGGCCACGAGTATTTCCATAATTGGACTGGCAACAGAGTGACATGTCGCGACTGGTTCCAGCTTAGTCTGAAGGAAGGTCTCACTGTTTTTCGTGATCAGGAATTCTCATCTAACATGGGAAGTTGTAATGTAAAGCGGATTGGTGTTGTTTCAAAACTTCGGAATTACCAGTTTCCACAGGACGCAGGTCCCATGACCCATCCAGTGCGACCACACTCTTACATCAAGATGGACAATTTCTACACAGTCACGGTCTATGAAAAGGGGGCTGAAGTTGTTCAAATGTACAAAACCTTATTGGGAAATCAAGGGTTTCGAAAGGGCATGGATCTATATTTTAAGAGACATGATGGGCAAGCTATAACATGTGAAGATTTTTATGCTGCCATGCGGGATGCAAATGATGCAGATTTTGCAAATTTCTTATCATGATACTCTCAGGCTGGGACTCCAGTTGTTAAAGTAAATACTTCTTATAATGCAGAAGGACATACATTTTCCTTGAAGATTAGTCAAGAGATACCACCAACTCCAGGGCAGTCAGTTAAGGAACCCACGTTAATTCCTATTGCAGTAGGTTTGCTTGATTAAAATGGCAAGGACATTCCTCTTTCCTCTATTTATCATAACGGAGCTTTGCAACCCGTTTCAAGCAGTGGCCAATCAGTATCCACTACAATCCTTAGAGTCACTAAGAAAGAAGAAGAGTTTGTATTCACTGATATATTTGAGAAGCTTGTTCCATCTTTGTTAAGGGGATATAGTGATCCTATTCATCTTCAATCTGATCTTACTGAGGACGACCTGTTTTTCCTATTAGCCAATGATTCTGATGAATTCAACCGATGGGAGGCTGGACAAATTTTGGCACAAAAATTGATGCTCAACTTGGTGGATGATTTCCAAAATAATAAGCCATTGGTTTTAAATTCCGATTTTGTTGGTGGGTTCAAGCGTATACTAACTGACTCAAGTCTGGACAAAGAATTTGTGGCCAAGGCAATAACTCTGCCTGGCGAGGGAGAAATGATGGACTTGTGGCCAAGGCAATAACTCTGTTCGGTCTTTTATCAGAAAGCAGCTTGCTATGAACTGAAATCAGAGTTCCTTAGCACTGTAGAAAATAATAAGAGCTCAGGAGAGTATGTGTTTGATCATTCAAACATGTCTAGACGAGCTTTGAAGAATGTTGCTCTTACTTATCTTGCTTCCCTTGAGGATCAAGAATTCACCGACCTTGCACTTCAAGAATACAAAACTGCTACAAATATGACTGAACAGTTTGCAGCATTGGCATCCATAGCCTAGAACCCTGTTAAAATTCGTGATGATGTTCTTGCTGACTTTTATGAGAAGTGGCAGAATGATTACTTGGTTGTGAACAAATGGTTTGCTCTTTAAGCTGTGTCTGACATTCCTGGTAATGTTGAGAATGTGCAGAAACTGTTAAGCCACCCAACATTTGACTTGCACAATCCCAATAAAGTGTACTCTCTCATTGGAGGTTTCTGCGGGCTCCCTGTGAATTTCCATGCAAAGGATGGATCTGGCTATGAGTTTATGGGAGATATTGTGCTGCAACTTGACAAAATAAATCCTCAGGTTGCATCAAGAATGGTGTCAGCCTTCTCACGATGGAAACGTTATGACGAGACCAGACAAAAACTTGCAAAGGCCCAGTTGGAGAAGATCTTGTCTTCTAATGGCCTATCAAAGAATGTGGTATAGTTTCTAGCGTTAAAAATTACATCATGCTGGCTACTCTTTTTCATACTCTTGCTTTAATTCTTAATTAAGATCCTGTGGCACGAGAAGCCGCTTTCAAAAGTGGATTGACCAGAATTGCCTCCGATCTACTCAACCAGTGGGATTCTAGTCTCGATAGCAAGGAGAAACAGAAGGTGCCAAAAATGGGCCACAACTGCTTTTCTCGCCTTAGACAGGTTGTTGCAGGAAACACTCAGGAGGAATTTCAAAAATATTTTGAAGCTCTAAAAGTAGATCCATACTATGCTCCAGCATATTATAACCTTGGTGTTGTCTACACTGTCCAGAGTAAGATGGACGCCGCGGCAAGTATGATTGAGAAAGCTATCATTACAAATCTGACATATGCAGAGGCCTACAATAACCTAGGAGTTCTTTACAGAGATGTTGGTGATATTGCTCTAGCAAATAATGCTTATGAACAACGTCTCAAGATTGATCCCAACTCTCGAAATGCTGGCCAGAACCGCCTGCTTGTAATGAATTACATAGATGAAGGAAATGATGACAAACTTTTCGAAGCTCATAGGGACTGGGGTAGGCGGTTTATGAGACTATATCAACCATTCACATCATGGAACAACTCAAAAGATCCCGAAGGTTTCAAGAAACACTATGCCACGGTACAAGTTGAACTAACTGATGAATGTACCCTATAAATGCCATTTTGGATGTTCCATTATAAAAGCAGCTGGCTGCTGGAAGATTGTTTGTAGGACAGAAGCTCAGAAAATGAGAAACAGAAGATTAATTAACAGCTCACCAATTTCCTCCTAACAATTTTATAACTCCCTAACTAATTCTATAACTAACTCTAACAGTGATAACAGAAACTGCTAACAAAGGAAAACAAAATTCATAACTGACTCGATCAGGGCTTCTTCCTATAACCAATTACAAGGCAGATAACTAATTTTAACCAACTTCTAACCATTCTAGTAATAGGCTACTGTTCTAACAAACTTTCTGGAATGTCTAACAAACTTTTCTAAGCTGACCAACTATATAAACCTTCCTCTTCATCAGTCTCGGGGATCATTTTTTTCACTCCATATATTGTTCTGGAGAATCACTGAAACCATCATCTTCAATTTCCCCTCTCTAAACTCCGTCTTCACCTCCACTCTCCATTGTTCGATCTTCAGTTGGTTCTCAAAGCTTCACTTCTCTCTGATTCATCATACAAAGTTCATTTTTCTCAACTTGCGATAATCTTCATAATTGTCATCATTTCCGCTCTTCTCCTATCGCCAACGCACGCAACCCTCAAACCAAAGAAAAGTGAAGACAGTGATGAAGGGATCAAGACGAAGCAGACAAGATCAAGAAGGACAATAATTGTATTACTTCACCTTTGGATTTCTGAAGCGCTACCAACGTGTCTTCAATAGGTAATCCTCAATCTTCTTCTTTTTACGACTTTTTTTTGCTTGGTCTATACCATAACCGCGAAGGGTAAAATGCGGCGAACGATAAATCCACCATGTAATCTTGATCGGAAGAAATGTAGAGCTTAAGTTTCGTTGTTAGATTCGGGATAGAGGAAGAGAAATTGATGAAAGCAAGCGAAGGAGTCGAAATTCAGAGAGAGACTTTAGGTGGTGTGAACAAGAAAGTTGAATCAGGACAGGGGAGAAGGGATGGAGTCATGGCGGCATCGCCATTGTTGTTTTCGAATGTAGAAGAAAGGATTTTTGTGTAAAGGAGCTGGAGGGGGCCGTTTACAGTAAACGCCGTCGTTTTGGAGATTTTTCCTTTTCTCCTTTTGTTATTATTCATTTATTTAATGGTTATTTCAAATGGTTAAATCAAAAAAAAAAGAAAGAGGAGAACTTATTATTATTTTGCCTTTAAGAATTAATTCCTGATTATTCGATTACTCGAAACTGGTAATTCACTTTGCTCGTCAAGATTCGAGTCTTATGCAGGTTTTTATATGGATACGCTCGAGATGCCGATTGTGATTTATTTTCAAACTGAGGATGCTTCAATAATCATTCTGAATATTGGAGTTCTGACTCTTTTCTTTGTTGGTGCTAGCAGCTCGCAAGAACATCGGGTCTCTTTACTTTTTTGCTTTGCTCCACGGGCTAGTACTCGTTTGGTATATTTTCTTTCTACTTTCACCTCGCATTTATCTCTACATAAAGGTCGTATGAAGTATAATAAAATTAGGTTTAGAAATAGACTGGTTTCCCTGTGACTTGTCCTTCCCTTTTTTTGCATATGCATTTAAAACAAAAACTTCTCCTTTTTTACAAACTTCAAAAATACATAAAAATTTACTGACAAGAACCATGTCTTGGATAAGTTTGAGAGATGATAAGCGGGTTTCTTCTCGACCTTATTATTCTCTTGTTCTAAGATTTGGTATGATTCAAGTCTCAAAGAATCATTTCATGAATAAGTAGAGACATGGTTAAAATCTCTCTCTTGAGATTAACTAGTTATTCTCTACAAGCGAAAAACACCAACAAACATAAAAATCTTTTTTGCCTTCGGGTCTTTCTTTCAAACCCTTTTCAAAAGAGCATATTAATTCACTTCTGTGCTGACGCGTAAGTCTCCAAAGGTCGAGTTGCGGCAGAAGGCGAAATTAATATCATTCATTACAAAAACGAACAAGTTCAAACCTTTTTGTGCGTCCAGGCACATTTCTTTCCAAACTTTTCAAAAGAGCGTATTAATTCACTTCTGTGCTGACGCGTAAGTCTCCAAAGGTCGAGTCGCGGCAGAAGGCGGGATCAATATTGTTCATTAAAAAAATACAAACAAACAAAAACATATAAGCCGAACTACGACTGCTCTGATTCCTTAAAAGGGATACGTAGGCATCGGGGTAGGGCCCGAACGAGCATAACTTTTACTTTCCCTACACTCTTTTCCCCTTTCTTTTGCATGCATTCCCTCCAGTAGTATAATAAACCGTACGCATAGATTAAACACACTCATAAGATAGACAACAAGAGTGGATACCGTAGAGTACTACGGGCGTGTGGGGTGCTAATACCTTCCCCTCGCGTAACAGACTCCCTTACCCTTATCTCTTGGTTGTTCGACCTTGATTTCACCCTTTTCAGGTTTTCTCGATGTTTACCTTTCCCTTCCTGTGGGATAAAAGACGTTCGATGGCGACTTCATTGTTTTGATGATTTTCAGCCGGTTGTTTCAGCTGGCGACTTCACTAGGGATAGGTCGACGAAGTGTTGGTCCATCCCAGAGTCGCTCCTAGCTCTTGTTTTCTTTTCTTTGGGTGTTTATTTTTATGCTTTCGATTTACTCATTTTACATGTTTATCTGAGCATAAGCTTGCATTACATTTTATTGCTTTCCCTATTTGTCATCTATTATGCTGGACTCTGTTTTCCATGTTGGGTGAGGATGTTACTATTGAGGTAAAAGGCCCAGTACCCAGGCCAGAGTGCACTAGGACACCTAGGAATAGAGTGGGGGCATGACGGCTATAGGACGTGGTCCGATTAGTGCAGTCATGTCATATACCACGCTCGGATGAGGTTCAAATGAATTACTATTGGCATCCACGTCTGTGGGTAAGCCCATAGCACTTTCAGGAGGACCCTTGATTTTCGAGTTACCGTTACCTTACCCTGACCTAGTCCTCACCCGTGAGTGGGGAGGGATTTATCATTACAGGTACAGTTGGTGATTGTGTCCAAATGGTTACTCATGCTCAGATGGAGACTGTGATCAGACAGTAACTATTGGTTCTAATGATTATGTTATGGGTTTATGTCGGTGACTTATGCATATGGTATTCTGTTGGTGACTGCATGGTTCTCAGATTTATTTTTTGAGATTCCTGACTTGCTTACTTGGAAGTTCATTCAAGCCTTTAATCGTGGCATTCCCAGCATATTCAGAAATGCTCAAACAGTACCTGATGTTTCTGAAGCCTTGATCTCATGCTACTTAGATCTACATGGTACTCGGCTTTTACATGTGCGGAAGCTATGTCGGACCCTTGATTTGATGATATTCATATGGTTCAGAATAACGCAGCAATCATATTTGGAAATGATGGAACCTTGATCCCATTTGATCTCATATCTGTGTATACATAACATGGTTAACCAAATACTTAACATACATGTTCTATGATTTCCAAGGAATCGTATTTGTAAGCCTTATGCCAAACTTTTCCATGTTTTACTTACGTAAAATCAAAGCACGTAAATTCCTTGGGAATGAAGGAACATAACATGGCATCTATTCATGCACTCCATGTATATTCATGCATCCATAACAGGTACTCAAAGATTGGGGGTTCTTATTCAGACATGGTTCTCCTTGGAGGTTTAGCTTTGATTTCTTACTGCACTTGTTCAGGGATCGGTTAGGGAATAACTCCATATGGTATACCTACAAGCTTTGGCCCGTAGTCAAAAATATCTTCAAGCAGGAAGATAATTAATTGAAAACTCAGATGAGATAGGTCATGGAAGCTCTAATGACGATGTCAACAATCTTGCACTTACTGTCACAGCAAGTTCTCTCTTCACCTCATCATCTTTTGGGAATTGCTCTTAACCATGGAGTGCTACGCAATCCTGAGTTCTTGGAACATCTTATCAGCAGATGCTTCCCATTTTACTATGTGATCTTATATCAGTGCTTCGTTCTTTTTGACCAAAATCAGATGTGGTTACAACGCCGGGGCATCATACCTTTTAATCAGGGGCATCCTCCATAACCTTGTGTTCCCTAATTGTTCAACAAGAGCCAGTCCTTATTCCCCAAGTGAATTCATGGGGAAAGCTTTTAAGCCAAGACACAAGAACCCTGTTGAGCATGCTAATGCGAGCCCAATGCATTACATCCTATTATTCCCAGTTCTTCCCAGCTCTGATCTTTGAGAACTTCCTCCCACAAACGTCACTTCTGATTACAATATGTATGCTAGATACATCTCCTATTCTGGGGTACCCGGTTTTGATATTGAAGACTACAAAGGGGTTATAAAAGCCCAACACCTGTTTGGAGTCTCTTCCAAACTCTCTTTCACCGGGTGGATGTCTCTTTTGTTTTGATAGAAGACAAACTGTATTAGTTTTTTGTGGCGTAGTATGCCTGATGATGCAGTTTTCACTTAAAGAAGCATTCAGTTGTTCTCCTGAAGGAATATTCTATGCATATTATTCTGGGGCAATTGATCATTCGATTGAAGAGAGTACGTCATCCAGAGACAAGGCCCAAGACGAGATCAATCCAGAGACCGTAGTGTCCAAATCATATCAGAGGGAGAATTTTCTCACCATGCATCTTCATGCATCCATAGAGGGTAGTCAGAAGGTACTCGGAATGGGGAACCCTTATTCGGATTCAGTATTCTCTTTTCAAGAACTGCCAATCTTGACGTCTCACTGCTTCATGATCAGATTCAAGTTATGAAACAACCTTGTGAGGAATTGGATGAGATAAAAAGAATTAGATGGGGATATTTATTGGGGATATGTAAACAATGGCCTGTAGTTAGAAATCCTCAAGGAGAAAAGATAGCCAATTGAAGACTCGGTTGAGTCGGGTATAGAATTTTTGAAGACAGTTTCGGCAAAGAAAGGTGATCTTGTATACGTTGTTGCAACATGAGCTGTCATTAATCCCCAGCCTATGGGACTTTTTTTTTCAAATCATGAGATAC